AGTAAGTGTGGGTGCACACCCCTGCTCGGAGGGGCCAGCGCCAGTGGGGGAGCTGGGGTCCAGCATGTGGCCCTGCTCTGCCCGCAGCGGTCCCCTGGGAGCCGGCGGGGACATTCCTCAGGCACTGAGCGGTGTCTGCTCCCCCAGACCTTTATTGCACGCTGGAGGTGGACTCCTTTGGCTACTTTGTCAGCAAAGCCAAGACCAGGGTTTTTCGGGACACCACCGAGCCGCAGTGGAATGAGGTGAGAGGAGGGTGGGACACAGGGAGGGGACTGTGCCCCTCCCTTCCCTTCCAGACCCAGTTTTGAAGCTGCTCTGGGGTGCTGGGGCTGAGCCACCCTCCCTCTGCACCCCAGGAGTTCGAGATCGAGCTGGAGGGCTCCCAGTCCCTGCGCATCCTCTGCTACGAGAAGTGCTACGACAAGACCAAGCTCAACAAGGACAACAACGAAATCGTGGACAAGATCATGGGCAAGGGGCAGATCCAGGTACGCGCTGGGGCTTTTGGGCATCTTCTTACCCAATGTTGGACCTCTTGGGGCCAGGTGCCTGGGCTGGGAAGGTTGCCTTGGGGTGATGGCTGGGATGGGAGACGCCTGGCAGCATGGGCAGGCGGTTCTGCTTTTGGGAGCGGGGCACAGGGATTGTGGCTTGGGTTTGAAGGCAGCAAGGTCTGTGGGCATCAGGTGTGTGGGTGATGATCCCGGGGCACGGTGGCTGCAGGAGAAGGTGGGACAAAGTGAGAGGGGGTCCTGTGGAGGTGGCAAAGCTAGCGGCCACCCCCCAGATGTGTGTCCAGCTCCAGCTGGGCTGGAAGCGTTTCCGTTCTGCCATCCTCTGTGCTCTGGCGCTGGGGGGCTGCGGGGAGGGGGTCAGCACCTGCCCCAGGGAGGGCTCTGAGCGTGCAAGGCCCCCGTCCCTCCCTGCCAGCTGTGGCTGTCCCCCTCTGCTACCATCTGCCTCCCCTGCGCCTCCATCGTGTTAGGGCAACAGGGTGTTGCGGGCCAACAGCGGGGCCGCCTCTGATGGGCGGTTGCCAGGCAGGGAGGATAGAGGCCTGGGCTGCCCTGAGATGCTCCCAGGTAAGCAGGACTTGGAAGATGGAGGGGGGGGCAGGAAGCCCCCAGACCCCGCATCCCCCCAGCACCTCCCTTGGCCAGGCTGCAGGGAGGCTCAGGGCAGCGGGGGTGGTTCGGGACGGGGGTGCCCCTGTGTTTTCCTGGCAGGGACCCCGGGTCCGGCTGCCTTCCCCACTGTGCTGGGGACAGCGTCATGCCCAGGACACAGCGCTCGACCCAAGGCCACTTCAAAGGGCCCAGCATGGCCGCCTGCAAGAGTGTGGAGTGGAGGTCCCCAGGGAGCGGGGAGCAGTACGGAAATGCTGGTGGGAAGGGGACACTGGGGGGGGGACGGCACCGCAACGGGTGCAGGGTGTGAGATGGGGGCTCGGCTTCACCAGCGGCTTGTTCCTGCCCAAAATCACCCGTCTGTTGCCCCCTCCCTGGGAGAACAGTGGTGTGGGGGTGGCACTGGGACAAGTGGGAGGGCTGGGGCGGGGAAGGGGCTTGGTGCCCCGCGGGGATCAGCCCAGCTGCGCTCTCGGAAATAGCCTGGGTCAACAAACATGAGTCATGCTGGGAGACTGGGAGACGGGGAGACACAGGGGTCGGGACGGGGACAGCACAGCTCGTCCCTGCCGTGCGAAAGTCGTGGGGGAAGAAAGGGAGAGAGAGGAGGCCCTGGGGCTGCATATCCCAAGGACCTGGCTGGACGGAGCGGTGTCAGGGTTGGGGCTGTTCCGCCATCACCCAGAGCCACAGCTCATCCCTGCTCCCGGAGTGGGGTGGGTGGCAGGGCAGGGACGGGGCAGCATGGCTGGGGGCAGGATGGGCAGTGCTGCCTGTGGGTCTGTGGGTTGTGGCCAAGCCTCAGCGCTGCCCCCTTGCCCTCTGCCCTGAGCTGTTCAGGCAGCGATGCTGCCCTGGATGGTCCTTACCCCGGCCGGTCCCTGGGCTCGTCGTGGGCTGCTGCTCGTTCCAGTTAGCAGCAGGAGTGGGAGACACTGGGATCACTGGGGTCAGTAGCTCAGCAAACACCCATGGTGTGGGGGGGGGGGCTGCCAGGATGGCCGAACCCCCCTGCGTGGCTGGTGCTGTGCCCGCTGCCCAGCTCTAATCTGACAGCCCAGGCACATGGGTCGGCCATGAAAGCAGCTTAGTGGCATCACGGGCTGGTGGGAGTGGGTCAGCACGCGAGGAGGATGCTGCAGCCCCTCTGCGGGGACCAGCAGGGGCGTCCGGAGGCTGCGGAGGTGCCATGGGTGGGAGTCAAGTCCTGTTGGTGCAGAGGACGTGGCTGTGTCCATGGAGGGGCTGGGGTTGGCACCAGCCTCCTCTCGAGCATCCTGGCAATGAGCGCCGAGGGGTCTGCGGCGTGGCGAGCGTTGGACCCCTATCCTGCACCCCATCCCCATGGTTGGCGGAGGGTGGGCACCCTGTGCCACATGGGCCTGGCCATGCCACCGGCTGCTCTGTGGGAAGGTCCATCTGGGCGTGGGGATGGCTCTGCTGCGGCTGCCGGTTGGCATTAATCCTGTTCTGTTGTTGTTAACCCCGTTTTGCATGCGGTTTCCAACACTGGGACGTGCCGTGGTCAGGGTAGAGGTGCCGTGGGGGGCTTATGTCCCCAGCACTGCAGGGCTCAGCCCAGCTCTGAGCTGTGCCGGTCGTGCCCAGCAGCTAGGCTGCCTCGCGCGGGGCTGTGTCGGGTGGATGCTGGCAGGGGTGCCTGGTGCTGTGGCGGGCGGGGAGAAAAACGCCGGGGGGGAACAAAGGCGGGGGGGGG